AGCTAGGTAGGGGTGGACCGCCAAGTAAAATTAATTAGACAGTCAGCGAGGACGACAGTCACAGTGGCTCGACGTTTGTACCACTGGCCCAAGCCAGAGAGCGAGACAGACTGGACGAGCCAGCAAGACAGACGGGACCAGCCAGCGACCTCAAGAGCCAGGCAGACATGGCAGCCGAGGCAGCGCAGCAGGCAGCGGCGGAGCTGGGCACGTGGGAGGCAGTGGAGGCAGCGCGGGCAGCGAGCGCAGCCGAGCAGGCAGCCAGGTTCACTATGCAGCAAGAGACGCTGCAGGAACTACGCCTAATTGGCAAGAAAGTGCATTGCCTTGAGGCCCGCTTGGAGCCTGGGCGAGACAGATTAGTGAGAAACTTATTGAACGCCCAAGGCTTCGCATATTTGGGTGCGTTTTCATGCATGGCCGTGTTCTTGTAGGCAATCGGAAAACATGTTGTCTTCATTGAGCAATGAAAAAAAATCTAAGGACACGTTCTGCAACTTACAGGCAGACAGAGAGCGGCATAGGAAGCAAGCGGTGCAGGAAGGGAGGGAGGCAGAGAAAGCCGAACGCTGGAAGCAGTTCCTCGAGACAGCCAGACAAGCAGGGCCTCCGTTCTCGTGGCTGCTGATGTGTTTCAAGTGAGGCAGTGAGAGAGCTAGGGCACCTCCGAGGCAGACAGCCAGCCGTTTAAAGGCAGCCAGCCAGACAGGGTTTGGCGCCAGGCAGGCAGACAGCCAGGGAGGCAGCCTGGCAGAGAGCAGAGCTAGTCAGCCAGTTTAGAGGCAGCCAGCCAGCAGAGCCAGGCGCCAGCAGGCGGCTAGAGAAGCAGGGCAGGTTGATATCCTCTAAGACCCCCTTTAGTATAGCCATGGTTAAAATATATACATAAATATTTGACCGCGGCATGTTTGTAGGATTGGGGCAAGAGGATATCAACCTGCCCAGCCAGACAGAGAGCCAGACAGTCCGCCACACAAACGAGAGAGGCAGGCAGCCAGTGGAGGGACAGGGAGTGGAGAGTCAGGGACAGCCAGACAGTTAGAGTTAGCTATTGCTAGGAGCAAGGACGCTACTAGGGACGCCTAGCATCGCTACTAGGAGTAAGGCCGCTACTAGGGGCTCCTGGCCTCGCTACTAGGAGAGCCAGCGGAGAGTCTGCAACGCGACATGGTCGATTTTGAGGGTGTATTGGGACCTATTTTGGGGGAGTTTTGGGGAACCTAATAAAAAAAACTACCCCCAAAATCGACCATGTTGGTAGTTTAGTAGCGGTTTGAAAGGGCGGCAATTTAAAACCAAATATAAACCGAATTTAGGGGTTCGGACGTGGGTTTTTTTTAATTGGGGAGTGTTTATTAATAGGTACTCGGGATTACCTTCTCAGAATGTGTTTGGGGTGGGTTTGGAGGGTCCAAGTGCCTTCTGAGAAGGTACTTGGATCCCTAGGGATCGTGCCACACACCACGAGATGTCCACCTACTCACAGTGTACCCTCCCTCCTCCTCCTACTCCACCCGACAGCAGTCCTACCCCACCCTTTCTTTCGAAGACTCGCTGTCTGTGCCTATACCCCACCCCCCCAAAATCACCACCGCGCTCCCCCTAAAGCCCACTCGCCCCTACTTCCTCCGCCCCCCGGCGCCCGGCCGACGCCACACGCCCCCACGTCGGCGTCTGCGCCTCCCGCGCCACCACGATGATGGTGGGCGGCGTCGAATCGGTGACCCAAACGTTCTCCGTGAGGCCTCGCGGCTGTGGACCGGTGCCCGGTCAGAGACCACGCGAAGCCGCTCGGGTGTGCTCCTTGACCACTGGTTTGTCATGGAAAGGAGGCAGGTCTTCTAGGTCTTGGGTTTTTATGGGTTTTTGCTGAGGCAGGTGAGTTCTCCTGAGGCATGCAAGTGTCAGATAGCCTCAGTGAGTCACATGAAAAAACAACAACTGCGTCTTCCCATGCCCAATGTCTTGGAATGATCTTCAGGTAGGGGCCCCTACTGTGTGGGTCTTGGGGTTGAACAGCTGTTTTTTCGTTGCTAGGACCGTTTCAACATATACAGCAAGTGACTCATGGGCATAAGACCAGCCCAGGAGCCCCTCATGTCTTTTGCCAATCATTGTTCCATACGGGATCCATAATGATCTATGATTATATAGTATAATGATCTAGAATCTAATGATCTGTAGGTGGCAGGTTCGGAGAAAACTGCAATGAGAGCCCCACGTCACATTCCAAACAGCTGCTGCTTTCAATGGGTCACTCCCTCAAAACAAGTCGCCTCCCGCACTCCCTCCCAATGGTGCTGCCATCGCCTCCAGCAGGAGAGGCCACCTCAACAGAAGATCTGCTTGCTTCCCTTCTGAACAAATTAATCACAGGTATCCACTGGCAAAAGGCTTGTGTAAAGGAGAAAGTCTGGGTATGCTCACTCCCCTGCACAAGCTTAAACATGATTTTTTGGGTTTCTTCTGCTTTGGTCGTTCACACCCTGGTTGAAGTTATTTATCAACTCACACGTTGAGTTCACGTTGAGTTCACCAACGTACCAGCTTTGGCTCTGCCAACGTACGCTGGGCACGTGAGAAGGACCGAGAATGGCTGGGCCACATGAATGGGATCCATTGGGTTATCTATCCCAACATCCCAGCGCTCCCAGGGCCCAGTGGATGATGATGGGGCCGACAGTTGCAGGACTTGCTCCAAACATAGTGATACGATAGTCATCATCATCGGTTAAAAACGGATATGCTGGCAATGGGGTGGACCCTACGTATGGGTATTATTAACCAGGTCGCAAGCCCATGTGTTCGATTTGGCAGATCGTTGCGTTTTCGGAACAGCTGGAACTTGTATCACTTTTCCACAAGTGTCAGCCAGCTGGCCCGCTACTTGTGAATGCACATCGAACAACATACGGCATAATTGGCTCAAGCCGCGACAAGCACCACCCCAACCAACAAACCAAACTAAACCACTTATATAATGTGCTAACGTTTGGATTTGGAGTTGTGCTATCTAATTCAGTGGTTGCTTCATGATTGTTCCAGGGCGGGAGGAGGAGGCAGCGATGGAGAAGGGGCGGATAAATCACTAAAAACAACAAACACACATGACGTCAATGTGGGGAAAAAAGAACACCGAAGCCAGCACCAACTCGCCACCCACCTTCAAAAAATATGGGCCAGGAGCCCTATAGGGCATGGTGGCCCCCCAAATATGCCCATACAAAAAAACCACCCAAAACCACCAGTCATGTAGGCCAGTGTCACTGCGCCACCATGGATCATCTGGGTGTTGTGATGTCTGCCTGAAGGCTCTGTCCGTTTCGTGACAAGCACAGTTTTCAAACGTTGACCATGGTGATGGGTCCCGGCACCGGTCTGGGACTGCCGGACTGCCCCAGACAGACCCCCCTGGCACCACCACTCCCTGGCCGTTTTGGCAGGTCGAGACGACCGGTGGTCGACCTCGCGCTTTGAGAGTCGGACGGAGCCCACAGGTGTCTCCACATAGCTTTGGGACATGTAGTTCGGCCGGGCAAAGCCATGCGTATCCACCTGGAACACCGCGCTGGGGCGGGTGTTGCGTGGGCGAACGTAGGGGCCGTGGGGAGGGAGGTGTTGTGGGGCCTGGGCCAGGGTGATACACCGTGATGCGACTCTGACTCTTGGAATTCAAGGTAAATTCCCTCAAAAAGATCATGGTTACCTGGATGGCATGACCCCCAAGTTCAGATGGGCAAACATGGGGGAAAAAACATGGAAAAACATGTTGGAAGATCTCAAGTGTGGAAGATATGTGCTAAATCGACCCCTAAAACCACCACGATGGCTTAGTACTACCACCTTGATCACTGGATTATATATACCCGTCCCACAAGCCCTCGATGCAAAATTTGAATCATGCGATGCGTGGTCAATCTTGGATCGCTACAGAGAAACTCCCAAGGGTTGACCGTCAACGAACTAACAACCGGATGCAAGGACTACATAACAACCCTAACATAAAGTTCACCTAAGAGGATATGTTGGGTCTATCCTATTACCACGGCCCAGTGGATGATGGTTCAGTTGCAGGCCTTGTTCAAAAATTATGATTTGCTGGTTTACAGGTCCTGTTGCAGGTAAGTTCGGACCGACGTTAGGATGAACATGTGTTTAATGATTTATAATTACCCTGCCCACGGATCATACGCAAATACGTGACATTGAGAGGTGGGAAGTCGGGAAGTCCTTCAGGAGCCTGCTTAAAAAAAGGAACACAAACAATCTGATCAATTCCAGCTTAGTGAACACACCGCAAAGTTGAGGACTGTACAATGTTTCTTACGGGACTTATATCCAGATATTGCCTTGCAGCTGGATAGGCGAAAGGGCACCAGAGCACCAATGAACACCTAAAGCATGACGGGTCGATCAATAGGCGGACATAGAACTAAACCCCACAGAATGAACAAAGACTATCCCTACAAGTCAGTTTGACCTCATCTTACTGAAGTTTTGTCATACAAAAACACTAGAAGGTTTTCAGGACCAGGTTTTACTGGGTCAGACTGGACTTGTAGGGTATTAGTACTATATAGGGGAATGGATCCAAACCTGCAGCCGATCTCCCGGTCCACCATGCCTGCAACGACCGACAGGTCCGACAGGTCGTGTCCGAAACCAGTCTCTTGGTGCCATGCGTTGAAGGGTGTCCTTAATCCAGCTCATTGACCTCTTGACCTCTAACCCGGGACTGGGCTCCAGTCGTACCGAAACATTTCGCTTCGGTGGGACTGGGCGGGTCAGCGGACTTCGCCCATCTTGGACTGCTCCAAATGTGTGAAGAAACCACATCCACATCCCATCGCCGCACTGCCCCAGTGCACTGAGCATCCCCAGCTGCACTATCCTTGGCCCAGCAATAGATGTCGTACTGCGAGGCTTCGTAGATCACACTGCGAGGCCGTGGAGGGGGACTTCTGCGATACTGACATTGTTTTGAAGTACATGAGCTTAAACTCGGCTTAACCATATATGAATTGAATTCTATATTAAGCATGTACAGTCCATGATCTGTCTCAACCACTTCTGTCTTCAACTAATTGTCCTGCACTTGGTGGCGTTCCCTGGGTATCGTGGACGACGCGACCAAGCCGCCGCCTCGCCTCGTGGGGTCGCGGCTTTCGAGGCTGGTGATCGTGATGGTCCCCGTCGTCAGGGGGTCCAGGATCTCCTGCGAGGCCCGGCGAGGCGATAGGCGATGTTCGGCGATCGGCGAGGCGATGTTCGGATCTCGTCGTTTTTCATCACACGATGGCGAGGGAGGGGTGACCCAGTGGTGACCCTTTTCCCCGACATACCATGGTCTTTGGATGTGTTTTGGTGGAGGAACACCTCAAAAGAAGCATGGCATGTTTTTGGTTTGGGGCGGCCAAACAGTTGAGTGGGAAGAAACATTGAAAAAGAGTCAGGTGGCGTCCGACTTCTTTTCGCACATAGCTGCCATGAGTTCTGTAAAGAGTGAAACACGTCGGACAAAAACAATGAGATGACTTGGATCTGTGGGGCCAAGTGGATGATGACGGTTCAGTTGCAGGCCGACAGTCCAAAAAGAGTGATGTACTTGTTTACTGACTGTTACAGGTAAGAACGGACAGGCCTCAGAGATGACATTCTTCGGGAGTTCGCAGAACTCCTATGTGAATGGACTCCGGATTCCATCGATCCAGACGCGGATTTCCACCAGGGCCGTGTCAGGAAGCGTCGGCTGGCGCTGCTTGGATCCGGACAAGGCTGCGTGTGGAATCCGCATTGGCTTCGCGGCTTCGTGGGAAGGCCACTACAAAATGGAACAAACATCCACATTGCCCACAGGACAAGTGTCCAACCTCAGTTCCAGCTCAGTTCCAACCGTCCAACCTCAGTTCCAGCTTCCAACCCCAGTTCAAGTACACGACTTCCCTTTGTTCTCTCTCAGCTGCCATCATGAAAGCGGTTGCCTCATTATTCAAGGCTGCATCTTTGTCAGCGCCAGCCTCGAGCAGCAATCGCACAACTTCCAAGAAGCCATGCTGAGCTGCCATCATCAAAGTGGTTTCCCCAGTGTTCAATGCTGCATCTTTGTCAGCGCCAGCCTCGAGCAGAAATTGCAAAACTTCCAAGTGGCCACAATTGGCTGCAAGCCACAAAGCCGTTGACCGAAATTGTCTTGCTGCAGGATTGTCAGCACCAGCCTCGAGCAACAATCTCATAACTATTACATGACCATGTTGAGCTGCCATCATCAATGCGGTTTTCCCATATTCTGATGCTGCATCTTTGTCAGCGCCAGCCTCGAGCAGCAATCGCACGATTTCCAAGTGCATGGACATTAATGGCAGCAAGCAACAAAACAGTTGCCCCAAAATGCATTGCTGGCTCCAGCCTCAAGAAACAATTGCACAACTTCCAAGTGCCCATTCAGCTGCAACGAACAAACCTCCCCATTTGGATCTTGTGGTCTTTGAAGCAGTCCTTCAATCTCATCCACATCATTTGCTTTACAGTTGCGAAGCAGTTCTTCATCCATGATCTTATCAAAGGCACAAAAAGGCAGGATTACAAGCCCCACAGTTGGTAGTTGTCTCAAAGACATGTCATCCACCAGTTCGCCCAAATCGTCACTGAAGAGTCTTTGCTGAAACCTGGAGCACCCAACCTGAGTGGAAAGGAGTTGCTTTAGATCCCCAATGGATTTCCCGCGTTCCACCATGCAACGCAACTCAGACTCATCAAGCTGCACAACTGTTGTCCCGGACAGAACCATGACCTGCATCAGTCAGATTCAGAAGCGAACTAGGTGTCGACTTGAGCCATGGAAAGAATCATGGCTGGCAACAACACTCAGAAAACATATGAGAAGAACTGTAGGGCGAAGCATGCAAAGATAGGATGTGAAGCAAGAAATGTCCGGAATACCTAACCTGGCTTGTTTTGCTGCCCGTCTGTTTGCTGCAGCAAACTGCGAGCCTGACTTGGTAGCCAAGGTTACAAAGATGGCGTGTTGACCATGCCCAACCCTAGGGCTCCAAGTAACTCCTCAAAAGGTACTTGGACCCTCCAAACCCACCCCACACACCTTCTCAAAGGTACTTGGGCTGTTAACGACCGTGTTCTTCCAGTAGACTCTGTACCTGAAGTGCCGAGTTCGACCAATCCACATCACACCTTTTGACTGCAGAATTGGACATATTGAACTGTCATGAACAACCGGCAAACTGCCCATGAGCTGCCACCAAAACATACTCCATATATTGCCTGCACTGAGGAGAGGAAGCCGACCTACCCCCCGCCCCCCAAAACTCCACGTCCGACACTTCGACGGTCCGACGGCCGACGGTCCGGACGCTCCTGCTTGAAATCCGCTGAGAGGATCTGGTTGATGTGCAGCGTGGGTTCGGCCGAGTCGCTCCTGGAAGCGGCGACGCGGCGAGACGCGGCGAGACGTGTCCTCCGGGCCAGCGTGCCCTCCTTGGGGATTGGTTGAAGGTTGAATCCGAGACCCCTACGCCCTGGTGAAGGTAGACCCGCATGGAACCTGAAAACCACTGGTGAAGGTAGAGTAGTAGAGGAAAATCATCTTCCTTGCAGGTCCATGTTCAGGTTCCATGTGGCTCTCTTCCAGGGCATATCTGATTTGATATCTGATGTCCCTTTCTACATGAACATGGCCGATCGGATCTCCCAATAATCGATTGGGAGGCTTGATTGAACTCTTTGCAAAGCACAACTTGGTAGGCTGAAACCTCCGGAGCCCGCCAGTAGAAGGTCTTCTGGAAGGAACTTCTATTCTATTTGCCTAACGAGGGCACAAAGGTATACAATCATCTTCCCTATGATCCACTGGCACCCTCTGAGGTACAGTGATTGGAGGTACTGTTGTGTAGGTGCCAGTAGAGTCCAGTCGTACCTTCTGAGAAAGGTACGACTGGATTCCTACGGATTAAATTAGATGTAAAAAGAATGACAGAACTTCAACATGAAACAAAAGAAGCATGCTAATCCAGCAGTTCCATGTCAGGGCGCTATCCATGGAGGAAAGAGAGGGGTGCCCCTGTCACATCCACGGCCCGTGGATGGGACAAGCCCACACCATCCAACTCCATGTGACTCCTGCATATCAGAGTCCAACCCTAGGGATCCACTGCCCTGGGCCCTCCAAGCCTACATAAACAGTCTCCAATCACCATACCTGCCACGGTACGACTCGATCCCTAGGGTAAGCAAGCTTGGCATTGCCAGTCTGCTACCACTCGACCTTGGACTGTCCAGTCGAAGAAAACGCTCTGGTCGTCGGCTCCCGCCTCTTGGTGCGACAGTAGGCCGTTCCAGCCTGAGGATGGGACTGAGCAAGGTATATGTCAAAGAAGACAGGTCACACGGCGCGAAACGGGGCTGGACTCCACGAGAAGATTAGGTATAGCCAGGATCAAATTGGCTTGTAGAGGCTATAGCGACCCTGTCTTGGAACACCAAACAACATCTACAGTCCAAACTAACCACCTCTATTATATATATATAATATGCATCTATAGTCCAGTCCGAAACGCCACGCTGTCGGGTCGCGTCGCGTCCACCTCCCGTCTCGCCCGACCTTCCGACCGACAGGCCGACACCCTCCTCCTCTTCCAGGCCTCATTGAGCTGGAAGGTCACCACAATCCGGTCGTTCAAGGCCGTGGGATCTGCGATGCTCAGCCTGGCTCGGTCTGCGTCCCGGACGCGGAACGCGGGACGCGGGGCATGGGAATGGCTTGGCATGGCTTTTTCCGGTGTACCGGCGTGTTCTTCTTGACGCCGTGCGTCAAATGGGACGGGAGAGGTGGCATGTTCGTTGCTGGGTGATCGGACGTGAAGAAGAACTGCGTTATTTGCCGCGCGGTGTAAATATGCCAGGATCGTCCTGTCTGGGTGTCCAATAGACTACCCTACCCTACGTAAACAGGTCTCCAAACAGGGCACCCATTTTTCCAGTGCAAACGAAGTAGTAGAACCGATGTGAGGGCCCTCCTTTGTTCAGTGCTGAGAAGGGGGGAGCGCTGGGTGTCCTAACGCCCACCATCTATTGAATAGGCCCGAAGAACCGTGTTGTTTTACTAAGGATTTTACACACCAGGTCAACATGTGTTTTTGTCTTGGAAGTCTAGTGTGCATATCTTTGGGATGGTTCCTCAACGCTGGATAGGACCAGGAAGCGGCACAATCTGGAATTTGCCTCTTCAGCCAATTGGGACAGATCTGACTGACCTGGGATTGGTTTAGAAGGATAATGAAAAGCCAAGTCCTGGCAAACTCCGCCAGGCATGCTGAAAAGCATTGAACAGCTAGCTTAGTTGCTCGGTATGGTGGTGCTAAAGCCTGGAACTCAGTTGCCACTGTCCACTTGAACATCTCCCAGCCCAGCCAGGATTAATTGAGGAAATCCAGTGAGTTTGCTGCTGGCTGGCCCAACAAACATCAACACTACCAGGACCTTCCTGTCAGGGTCGGATGGTTTCGCCCCTCGACAGGACACCCCTGTCCGGCAGGTCCAGTGAGTGGAGTGCCATGCGACCAGCGGCTATATAGGAGTAACATGCGAGAGCAAAACGAGTCAATGTGTGGAAAAAGCGACCAGCGGCTACTAGAAACATATCTGTCCGACTTTCTCTTCAAAGTTCTATAGAATGATGCATCTCATTCTTACTCTAAACTATCGACCTAGACACTGAGCGAAGTTTCTCCGCCAACCATCCAAAACATGTTGTTTTTCCTGTCAAAATATATGTGTGATGTCGGGGTTCTACCCCCCAGCAAACTAACATAGAACCTGAGAATTGACCGGTGGAAGTCCATGTTCCTCTACAACCCAGTGGTTTTGGGATTGTTCATCTGTAAGGGAGTACCTACAATTATGAATGATACAGTAGGCACTTCACTGGTTGACCCGTTCGCCGGGTCGCATGGTGAAGATCGGTGGCGACTCATCCAGCGTCTTGACCTTGGATCAGCTGAGGGACGGCAGTGGATCCGAGTGTGACTATAAAGGCAAAGCTTCGACCCGATGCACTGTGGGGTGGCCACAATTGTTAACAAAAAGGTCTGCCAAAGGCTATCCACAGTCCGTGGGTAGGTGAGGATTCATTCGTACTCACTTGAAGCTGAGATGAGTTCCTGGTTGCGAGCGAAGGTCAAAACTGGTCGCGTGGCGGAAGGTCGAAGTGCAAACAGGGAGTCGAAGCCCCTGGAGTAAAAATCGACCAGCACCTACTGGTTGGGGGTCTCCCTTTTCAAGAACACACCGAGGTCTTGTGTGTATTAAACAGATGTGGACTTAAACAAACCCAATGGGTTTGATCGTTCATTTGAGCTCCTCTCCCACAAATCTTTTGGAGGGTCTGCCTGAGGGTGTGAACCCAGAGTGTCCCCAAGGTAAACTGATTGCCATCTGGACAGCGAAGGATTGGACAGTGTCATGTCCAATTTGACAATGTCCCCAAGGTTTCCAGTGGCAGAAGGTTCTACTCTCCCTGACAGTCCAATCTTGCCCAAGGTTGCACAGTCACGTATCTTTTCTGGATGGGGGCTGACATGTTTCTACTCTCTCTCTATATATATATATAGATAGAGAGAGAGAGATCCTCAACCTGGCTGGGTAGACTGGTCTATTTTCCAAACCTTTCAGGGGCTCGGAACGCCGCCGGGAGGTCTCCCGATTTCAACACACACACACACACACACACTATGGACATCTCGGGAACTGTGGGAGGTTGTCGGCCGAAGGAAACAAAGCAGCCCAACAAGTCCAAAGTCCAAAGACTCAGTACAATATGTGTTTTACCTCCTTAAATAGTGTTATTGAATGACAAACTGACAGACTCCTGTAAAATGAGGTCATTGACTGGTAGGGAGTGTCTAGATTCTTAGATCTGGATACACACTAAGCCCTAAGCCCTTCTGACTCATCCTACTGCGGCCGATCCTCAGGATCTTCTATAGGTCTACGGCCCAAGCTCAGCATTTTCTCGACCACCACTGATGGCCATCACTTAAGAACTTCACCAAAAGCGGCCATAGTATCGGCGCACTCCCGCCCAGTTGGGTCCCCAAGCCGTTCCGATCTCCTGCTGCATGGTGTGGACATTGTCGCCTGCAAACAGCGGTGCTCGGCATGCCATGAGACACTCAAGTTGGTTCGATGCTTTACAGTGCTACGTGTATCAACATCGATGTTCTGATGATATATCCACTGCCACCTTCTCAGGCCTACATAAACAGTCTCCAATCATCTTCTGACACGGTACTTGGATTTTTAGGGATACATAATATACTGTAGAATTGAATGTAATATACTGCGCAGTGAACACCAAACAAGCACGTATCAACATGTCTCAACATCCTGGAGGCCTTCCCTTGAACTATCACTTACAACCCCCCACAACCGTAGAAACCGACACCTCTTCCCAAAGCCAGTCAAGGTTACCGGATCAAATGTGGCGGTAAAGTCTACACTCCCGAACACTAACATAGACCCTGACAATGGCCCCCTGGAAGAGTGTTTTCCTCTACCAACCAGTGGTTTTCAGGGTCCATGTTAGTCTTCCAGGGTGTATTTGAGAAGCTCACCCTTAACACTCTTTCCAACAAACTCAGGGGCCGCCAAACACCGCTTGCAGTGGAAAATATATCCGCCTGGGTGAGCAAAGAAACAACCAGCCCATCAGCCACGACTCAAGCCCCCTGGTTTGGCCACGAGGACATCAGCCATGAAAGCACATCTTGATTGCATCTGATTCATAACAAGTATTTCAACATAAATATGGTTTAGGGGCACCAAAACACGCCGAGCATCACTTGCCGGAGCAAACGGTTCTTCTGGCACCATCCGGCACTCGGTTTGGACGCCGCACCCGAGCTGCCGGCACTGTCGAAGAACATCTTGTTTGGCACCGTCTGGCGGCGTCGCAGCGGGGTTCGGCAGCAGCGGGCGATGCGCAGGGTGGAAGGCGGTGGATGCTGGGAGGTTTCCTCTACACGCAAAGGTTCTATGATGTTCTATGCATGATATAGGCCGTAGAACTTTCTAAACAGGGGTTTAGTAAGCTGCATTGTTTTTTCTAAACATGCATTGGCCTTTGTCACACCCGAAACATTAGGACTCAAGTCTCGAAGGCTTTGGCAAAGAAAACTACGAAGGAACCACCGAAGACTCTTGAAAAATCGAAGACAGAAATCGGCAGTGCAAACATTTGCAGTGGTTTCAGAGTCACATGAGTCACATGGCACAAACCCAAAAACGTCCTTTTATTTATATATGATTTATATGGGAGTTAATATATATATATATATATACCTAGAGCCTGAGTGACCTTTGTTTTGATAGGAAAAGACCATAACCAGGATGGCAGAGGTTGCCATCCGACGGCCTGAGGGCAATACCACACAAGACATCACCACAAGGACCAAGTCAAGCACGTACCCGATGATACGAGCTGATCACTTAACGTGGCTTTCAAGCTGCCAAAAATGAAGGGTTATTGAAGGCGGCAGTGATTTCCCCATCAGAGACCTTCGTAGCTCCATTAGATCCCAAAGGACCTCGCACTCATGGCCCCAAAGAATCCTCCAGCAGATTGAGTGAACGGAAATTTGTAGTACCAGCGTACCACTGAATGTGCCTGCAAGCTCCGGAGCGTCAATAAATTTGGACATGACCAAGGCAATGAAAAGGAGGGTACCAAACATCACAGGGGCCACGAAACTATAAAGATCAAAGGAGTCATCCGCTCGCACTGATGCAGACCATTCCTTCTGAGTGGAGTAGGAGAGCCAAGCCAGAAACTCTGACCATTGGATCTGACTGATGGTCCTAAACCTGGCGGCATCTTCGATCCATGGGTCACTTCCTTTTTCTTTTTGGAATGAAGTCTAGATAAACAAAAACACTTGCCCCTATTGGCAATCAAACACAAAACCCTCCAGGCAGTTCACGCCTCGTCCCCCTCCAGGGAAAGAACAAAACACAATTCCATGCCTCATCATCCTGCGCGAAGCAGTAGATGAACGGATAGTCCGTCTCTTCCTTCAGAGCGGCAGTCTCGATGCCCCGCGAAGCACACACCTTCACGGCTTCGATCAAGGAATAATGTAGGGCTCCAGTCGTACCTTCTTAGAAGGTGTTTGGGGAGGGTTTCGAGGCTCCATATACCTTCTGAGCAGGTACTTGCAGCCCTATAGGGATACGCTTCTTGCGATACTTCTTCCTCCCCCCCTCCATAGAGCGAGGAGCGAGGCGACCGCTGCTCGGCGCTATGAGTCAACTGAAACCCACCAGGTATACATGGTCCATTCATACAAGCACCACTTCAAGCTGACCATCAATGAAAACTTCATATAGAAAGGCAACTGGCCCCCCCAAACATCCAAAAGCTACATCGACAACATTGAACATCTGGTGGGAAGTTCACAATCCCGGCCTTGCCCAAGGACATTTGTGAATTGGTCTTCACCACTCCCTAATCATCTGACCCCTCCATAGTCGGGACCCTCATTCCATGCTTGGTGTTTTGAGGTCCCAACGGCCCAACATGCTTGGTGGTTTGATCATTTGAAATAGATTCAGGGAAACCAGGAAGAGTGGCAGAACAGTTCGAACCACAAAACGGTCATGTGAAACGGAGACTTCCTTTGATCTCGACGTCGTACTTGGTTGGAACTGTTAGGTCGGGGTGATCAACAGAAAACCGTCCGTCCTTGCCTCCAGCCAGGTTCCGAACGCGGACCAAAACCTATCAGGGCCTTAAAACTGCACTATCCACACATCTGAGACTGTTTGAAAAAAACCATGTTACATCTCCAGGGCCTATCAGGGCCTTTTATTAGAACTGCATTCTCCACACGTCTGAGATTGAAATGCTAGTGTTCTGCCTGCGAAGAAGTCGATAGTCCCCTGAAGTTTCAATCAGTGCACATCGAGGGTGTCTGCTACAAATTGGACATCTTCTCTGACTCCCAAACACGACCCGTCTGGGTGTGTCATATACCACATTACCTACATGGACCCCCATTTCAACCACCCCAATGTAATCAACATATGGCGTACAAATCCAGTGTCTGGGACTTGCATGGAGGGTGGTGCCAGTGTCCAACATGAGCTTCATCTTTGGGCAAAAACGCAGCTTTGGATCCCAGAACCTTCTCAGAAGGCAGCTTGAAAAACAGCACCAAGAAACCTCTTGACTCTTGACTTATATGTAGCAGCCAAATTCTGAAGGTCTGGGAAACAAACACCTATCCCGCCCATCCCAGGCCAATCCATGCTGAAGGTCTAGCAAACCAACTGTTCGAACAACTCCTATTCCGGGGCTATCCCCCCTTTGATCTCGCCAGGTCACCGTGAGGCCAGAGACCACGATGTCTACATCCTCGCGTGGTCTCAGAAACTACGCCCAGGAGCCGTTAACCATAGTGATGCGAACGTGAATCCAAGAAGAAGACAATCCTAAATTGGGGACCATATGGGTGCATATGGGTGTGAAAATCCCCTATGACCAATTACCCCAAGGGGTCAAGGCCCCCATGTCACAGTGGAAATGGTCTTGAGTCATGGGGACGTGTATTTTTATGGGAAGACTCCCTGGCACTGGCTAACATGGGTACAGTTGTAGACGGTAGACTGGTCATGTTTCTCCCTAATTTAATACATAACCGCGTATATTTGGGATCTTCCAACTGTGCAACATGCCTGCCGAGCTGCTTCTATCAAACCAGCCAGGTTCGCCAAGTACATCTTGCAGGAAGATCATAGAAGATCCAGGGAGGCCCACTGTTTTGTTGGACACTAATAAAGAACGGGATTATAGGCATACCTATGCATTGGGTCTATCCTATTACCTGTAACAGTGGATGATGATGGCGTGTACAGGATTGTTTACTCACTGTTACAGGTTTCCTAGGACCGATGGCATACCTATATGCATAGTTCATCACCCACAAGCATATCGATTTCTGCCTCCTGGTACAGGAAATGCTTCCTTGCACTTTCTTACTTGGAGAAAGCTGTCATTCTTCAGTGAGCAGTTGACGCTCCAAATCTCCATGCACAACCCAGCCCAGTACAACGCTTGGAACAGCTGTCGTGCTGTTCTGACCGGACACCCCAGTTACCCGGTAACCATGAGTCAGCGAGAATTCCAAAATCTGCACCCTGACAGCGAAAGCTGCCAATCAAGTCAAGTCAAGTCTTCGCTCCTCTACACAGCGGTTTTTGTTCGAAAGAGACTCTCAAAAAAGGACTCCCTCACATGCGGCCAAAATCTGACAAACCTGTTTGAACTTATATACCCACCCCATTATCCGTCCCCCTCCTGGTTGTACTTCCATTTGTAGAGATCATCATAGTCCGCCCGGCTGGTAACCCCATCAGCGTCAGCATCTTCGATGTCGTCCAGGTCGTACACCCAGAACCTAATACTTCGAAGGTGCTTCGGCGGGCGAGGCAGGGCGGGGCGTACACCCTGTGAAACGGCGAGCGGGAACGGCGGCGTCTGTTTGGCGACATGGGCGTTTTTGAGAATTCACACGAATTCCATCCATTACTGAGATAGATAAACACAACCACCAGCTTTCTTTTCACGCGTTGCAGAGAGTTGGT